CATTGCACTAGCTCCCCACCCGTTCTCCACCAAAAAAAAAAAAAAACACTAGCTCCCCACCCGGCCACCCCACACCAGAGCCGCCGCCGTTTCTTGGTCTCTCACCGGCGAGCGGCGACTCGTCCAGTCGTCCCTCACCACTGGGCGTGGGTGACGCAGGAGAATACACAGGATGAGGGCTGTGGTGCAGCGCGTCCTCTCGGCGAGTGTCGAGGTGAGCGCCCTCTTCGGTGCACCGCAATTCGCTCGGAATCTTCCCTGAATGCTTCTTCTGTGGGGTCGCCGCAGGTCGAGGGACGAATAGTGTCGGCGATCGGCCCTGGACTCCTCGTCCTCGTCGGCGTCCACGAGGCGGACACCGACTCCGACGCCGACTACATGTATACAATCCTCTCCGTCCATCCCCCTCCCACTTCCTCCAATTACTGGTTTATACTGCTAGTGCTAGCCGTTCTCAATTCTTGTCTGTTTAGACATGATTACATCTTTATAACTCATCAGAATCTGCAGTGGGAATGTGTTCGTCCAGATATCAGTTAGCTGTGTTGATTCAGTGACGAGTTACTTGAGCTGCAGAGTGATTGAGATGCAGGATGTCATAATGATCCTTGATAAATGAATGATAATACTAGTCACTTGTACTACTAAGTAATCTGTTGTGTGGTGCATTTGTGGCAGCTTCTTTGGCAAACATTATGATTTATGCGTCCAAAGCACCGGGCTGGTTTCATTTCTTGTTCATTTACGAAAGTGTGTCACCCTTTTGTTTTCTGATATGTTACTAACTTACCATCTTTTTTATGAAATTTTGTTTATGCTGAAACGTTAAGTTAGCATGGCCTGCTGTTATATCTCTAATTGAATGCTAATGTTACCCTTACATAGTTGTCGGAAGGTCCTGAACATGAGGCTGTTTCCAAACGACAAGACTGAAAAAGCATGGGATCAAAGTGTAAGCCTCAGATCCATCTTGGCCCATTAGAAGAATAAAGTTGGCTTACTTGAGAATGCTAATTATTTACTTCACTTCATATGAGCTTTGAAGACAAACTTAAATAAGATTTTTCCTCCCTGCAGGTTATGCAGCGTAACTTTGAGGTGCTATTAGGTAATATGATGATGCAACCTTGCCCCATGTATAAAATATAAACAGCCTCCATTAAATCTGTTATTAACTACTACGTTTCTGATCTGATATCTTATTCAGTCAGTCAGTTCACCTTATATGGAATCCTGAAGGGTAATAAGCCAGATTTTCATGTGGCTATGCCACCTGCAAAAGCGAAACCATTCTATGCTTCTCTAGTTGAGAAATTTCAAAGGTCATACTCGGCTGATTCAGTGAAAGGTAACAAATATGCATTTTATAGTTCATTGTGCTTTACACAGTTTACCAACCTGAATTCTTGATTATCAAATCAATGTTCTTTTTCCTTTTGTTAACATGGATCTGCCTATATTTGGGATTTGACTGTCATGATTGATGCATTCGTTATAACTTTCCCACACTCCCCATTGTCCTGCATTGAACATTATTTTCTGCTGGATGCGCATTTCATCTTCTCGATAGCCACTTCCTGTTATGTTATGCCAATCTTCTTGCACTTGTTATTGCTGCTGCTGCTGCTATTGCTATTGCTTTTGCACTATGTTCCACCTACATCTAAAGATTTCTGCCATGAGTCACTGTATCACATGAAAATAAATGTGACGATGTTCCTACTTTGACTGGCAGATGGTGTTTTTGGAGCGATGATGAAGGTGTCTCTGAGTGAAACATGTTATTTGCCTTCATAGCTTTTGACCTTTTCAGGGGAAAAAAACGTAATTTGGAAAGTCTTGCAGGTTTCTTTGGTGAATGATGGCCCTGTGACAATGCAAATTGACTCACCCTCACTGCAAGGTGCTGCTCAGTCAAGGTGAGTTTGTTCAAATTGTCAGGTTTATTTTAATCTTTGTTGAATCGTATACTTGCTAGCTAGAATGGCATGCTTGGTTATATAGACTTGCCTGATTTATTCGATTTTATGAACTTGAACAGCAACGGCAATGATGATTTGGTTACATATGGTGACGCAAGAGTACCTAAGGAGACGTGTTAAAATTCTGGGTCGCCTGCTGGCCTAGGTGTGATGGAGCGTTGGTGAATATAAGTTCTCCATCACATCTTTCTCATTCAGAATTTTGATTTTGATTTTTTTTTTGGTGCAGTTGGATCTGAAAGCCCTCCTGCTGTGCGATTGGTATGAGGTTTCCGTCCATCTGGCGCGTTGATCACAAAGGAAATATCAGAATTGAAGTTGGCATTAGTCATGTGGTTTGCCATTAATTTTTTCAAAACAGTCCTAGCGCTTTGTCATTGGCAGTCAGTTACAGCACTGCTTCAGTCTGTGGAAGCATAGCCTTTTGCGCAAATGACAGAGCCGGCACGTTCTCTAGACTATATTTGTTATCTTATTCATTTTCTTCTGTGGGATAATACTCTTATTAATATGGGAGCTATACATGAGCTTGTCGCTGCTCAACAATGTAATTTCTAGGGTCTTATTACTGAAGTAGCAATCGTCAGTACAATGTCATCGTGGCCTGCTTGAGCAGAACACAAGCAACCAAAAATTAATACTTGGGATCCTCTTTTCGCCCAGTCATTACTCCTTGTTAGCAGCAGCTAGCATCACCTGCAGAGACAATGCAGAGATGCAATAACTCCCGAGTCCCCAGGCAGACACTGGAGGCATTTCCTCTATCCTGCCTGTTTCCTTCTCCATCCATTCCCATCTCACATTTCTTGTGTTACTTCAATATTTGAACGATGGCATTCCTGTTTCCTTGAATGATAGTAGAGTAAATACTGTCTTACGTAAGGATGAAAACGGAACGGAAATATCCCGAACCGAACCGCATCGTTTTCTATATTTAATCCGATCGAATCCGCATTTTCTTGTCCGACTTTACCGTTTTCGCTTTCGCATTTGAGATGTTTCGTATTTCAAATATAAAAGTAGAAAACGGTTTACACATTTTTCGACCGTTTTCTACTTTTCTACTTTTAATTTAAAATATTTCGAATTCAAAATTCGGTTTAAACCGAATTTGGCTTAATCGCACAGTCATACAACAACCAATTCTGAAGTTGCTCACCACGCTTGATTGCGTTTTTTCTCTTGGTGGCTAGCTGTCCTCTCTTATAGACGGCGCCTTGACCTCATCTCTCTTATTATGTATTTGATCGTGCATTTATTTAATGCTATGCTAGATCATGCACTTGTTAGTTGTGAACTTGTTATGTATTTGGTCGTGCACTTGTTTAATGCTATGCACTGTGGGTCGGTATTTCGTATTGAATTTTCGTATACCGGCCGTGTTCGACATAATTCCGCTCGAATTGGTTCGTTTCCGAAATTCTAGATATTCCGTAAGTTCGTGTTCGTTTTCGTGTCCGGCTTGTCCGCTTTTTGCTTTCGCTTTTGTATTTCAAATGTAAAAGTAGAAAATAGTTGAGGAGTTTTTCGACCGAGTTCGACCGTTTTCATCCTTAGTCTTACATCATATGTAGAAATGGTTTTGTTCACAAATATAATATTTAGTTAGTTCAATGCATGGTTTAGATTTTTTTTTTTGAGAATAATGCATGGTTTAGATTTTACATGATGGTAGCAATCTTTACGTGAAAGGTAACTGAACCTACAAAACGACGTGTCCAGAGTGACAAAGTAGCAAACAACATTCACTCTAGGCATCGCATACCAGCGCCTGAACCTTGGCAACCTGAGTTAGCTACAGCTTTCATAGAGTCAGAAGTCTCCATTTGATAAATGGTGCGTTTTCTTCATTGGGCCCGAATGGAACATCGACGTCTTATAATATTTGCACCATGTTACCAAGGCACTAGGCACCAATAGGGTCGGAAAACCTCTCAACTATTTTCTACTTCTACATTTGAATACGAAAACAAAAACAAAAGCGGTAAAGCCGGACAAAAACGAACACGAACTTACGGAATATCAAAATTTTCGAAAACGAACTAATTCGAGCGGAATTATGTCGAACACGATCGGTATACGAAAAATCAATACGGTATATTGACCCGTAGGACCAAGTGCATAACAATTAACAAGTACATGATAATTAACAAGTTCTACAACTTTTTTAAAAAGTATCTCCATTCGATACGAGGTAAGGAAGATATGATTTTTTTAAGGCAACAAACGCTTGTACGCGATTAATATATCACTGACTTTGTTTAATTTTTTTGAACATCTTCAAGACATCAAATGAAAAAACTAAAAACTAGAAAGTTGTATATATCTTGTCGAGAGCTACAATTTTTATATAAAAATTATCTTCATCCGAGATAGTATGAAAAAAATAATAATTTTCTAAGGTTGAACTTGTAGTGGGTCAAATTTGGTTTAAACCGAATTTTAAAACCAAATTTCGAATTCAGAATATTCCGATTTAAAAGTAGAAAAGTATAAAACGGTCAAAAAAATGTCTAAACCGTTTTCGTTCCGATTTCAAATTTGGTGTTCCAAATTTCAAATCAAATTGAATTTGTCCGAAAATACAAATTCGATCGGATTAAATGTAGAAAACGATGCGGTTCGGTACGGGATATTTCCATACCATTTTCATCCTTAGGCACCAATGCGTTTAGCTTCACCGACAGACAAAATAGTTCGGAATTCCATCTTAGCAATTGAATCCTGTCCATCACCTCTGGCAGGAATTCCAGCAGACAAGTCATTGCGCCAAAACATACAAGACAAGATTGGGATAGTACGTCACATTGACCAAATGATTTCACAATGTCTAGCCATGCCGAGCAAATGCATCTTAGTATCTTACAGTATTAGATAGAACGGGGGCAGGAAGTAGGCAAATGCATCAGCAATATTGTATTCAGTAGTGCGCATCTGAAATATCATCAACCAATCTTAAGGCTACATTGCTGTCAGAACAATATCATCGACCAATCTTAAGGCATGGTCCACGTCTCCTCACTCCGCATCCTCTATCTCTGTATCTTCTGGAACACCTCGGAGATAAAGGACGTTGTTGCATCTGTAAATTGAGCAAATAGAAATGAATCATACAAGTGGCAGCTGTGTGTTGGGTGTCAGTTAGGCCTTGTTTGGTTAATCCCCTCCGCAAGGGGATTGGAGGAGATGAAGGGGATTTTTACTTTAAGGGATTCAATCCTCAATCCCCCTCGAATACTCAACAAAACCAAACAAACCCTTAAGGGGATAAATTGTATTCCTCGCTAACTCAAACATTGAATCGATGAAACAAAATTTCTGTCCACATGATTCAATCAAAGTATTCAGAAAACCAAAATAAAAAAATAAAATCAAGAAACTATTTTTCCTAAAATTCTCCAACCTATTCAACTTATTTTGTGAAAACTGTAACCCAAACATCCAATGATACAATTTTACAAATTGATGCCACTCTTTATTGAGCATTTACCCCTGGCTTTTCATGACCCTTACATTCAACCTTTTTAGATCCACACTAAAGTACCTTTTCACTTCAATAATCAGACTTGGACAGCAAACAAGCTTTTATTGGGTTATATCTAGATTAACACACCTGATGCAAGCAAACAAAAGGATCATGAATCATTACCTGATCAGAATCTCACCCAAGTTTCCAGAGAATTGTCCATCAATGTACTCCTCTGTGTTAGCAAGCTGCAACCAGTAGCAAAGGTAGTAATCACTTTTTTGTGGCATGTTCTTCCATATTGAACGAATGATGAGCTTGCAAAACAATAAAATACAGATAGATGTGGTCTAATAATACAACAGCCAAACTGCCAAAGACCAAAGGTAGTACCTGAAGGTTCATGTATGAGTCAACAGAAGTAAGATACCCTGGGAAAATAAAGCAAATGTTCATCAATATATTTATGGAAGGGCTAGTTCAAGGAATAAAATTTAACATTTAAAATTTGAAATAAATAAAATTGATAACAATAAAAATTTACCTTTGTACTCCATACCCCACTTAAGTTTGACAATTACAGTCTTCCCTGTCAGATTGTTCAAGAAAGGTTTTGGGTTAACTGGCACAGTCTGCACAAAGCAAGAGCCCATCCATTAGTAAGTGTAGCATAACTGCATAAGGTTAGGGCTCATTATGGCTGGCAAATAGGAGTATACATAAACAAACTGTTATTTTGTTCCTTCGACTTCTTGGTTCCAATTATTAGCGAATTCCATGAGTCGACAAGACGGTAATTTCCCGATACAAAATGGTAAGGAAGGCATAGGATTTTATTAATACATGGCAACACATAAATTGATTAACAAATAGGAACAGAACAACAAGGCACGGGTGATGCACCCAGTGGCTGCCATTGCACTATCCTGGGAACCTAAGGAGTAATAACTTCATTGCGTGGATAAGAAAAGTACACCTTATATACAATAATTAAAATATTATCATGGCAAAGTTATATAAACAGATCAATCATTGTGATGTGATTCAAGTACAGTAGATGGTTATCTGTCCCTTATTGTTTCTTTAGTTTAATTTGTTTTCTAGCCATAGCAGTTCAATGAACAATAGAACATCAGACAGAGATAGAATTATGCTTAATAATAGCTTAAGCATGGACTAGCTCATTAGAAATTGATGCTCTTCTCATGAAGGTTGACATCATAATGAGCTTTATAAATTAACTCAATGTTTTCAAGTCGTCCAATTAATCGCGATTAGTCGGTCTGGTCGGTACCATGACCTCGATTAGAGACTTCGACTCGATTAGCTCGACTAGAAACCTGGTCGTCCGACTAGTCGACGACTAATCCGACCTAGGGGCTGCATGACCAGGCTGGGCACTGCCTTCTTTGGGCTTGCTGACTGGGCTTCCAGGTGAGTAGTTGGGCTGCCAAGTTGGCCCACTAGGGCCTGTAATATATATACAGGAGGCCAAGTCTCTAGAGTTCCCATCTCTCATTCTCTCCGGTGCGTGACGGCTGCTGCTGCTCTGGTCTTTCTCTCTTCTCCTCTCCTGTGCGTGACGGCTGCTGCTGCTCTTCTCTGCTTCTCTTCCCCAGCCAGCACGCCTCTTGGTGAAGCTCTTTCCTGGCTCTGCGCCTTTGCTCCCCCCTAGCTCACGAAGATGAGCTCTTCCTCCAATGATGGTAGGTGTGCCCACACTGCCCAGACCAGACTCGACTGGTCGGTCCCATGGCGACCAGAGTCGACTAGACGACTTGAAAACATTGAATTAACTTGAATCTCTAACCAGGCAACCAGCTGAGCTTGGATACACTTGGAGACAACTGTGGATGCATTTCTAGATTCAGCTCTAAGAGGAGCAGTTATAAGCTGAGCTATGGGCCATCATTGGCACTGGCAAAGGTAAATTCACTTATCTTAACCTTCGATGGTGGTACTAGCATTCACAAGAAGACTACGAGACAATAACATAACAAATCTGCAAGAGCTGACTAGATTATGATGTATACATGACACTAAGTCAAGCAGCTTAATTATTATTGGTACTGGCAAAGGAAAATCAGGAAAAGCCCTATCGGTGCTTGGATCCAGTTCTTGGTTCAAGCATTCCTAATGGGCAATTGCACACGATGTTCAGTTCAAGCATTCCTAACCAAACAAGATTCAGGGGAGTTAAGACCTTAAATCGTGTTTGACACAATCTTCTGGTTTAAATAAAACCTCCAAACAACAAGTGTGATTAGTAATTGTCCCTTTCCCCTTCCCTGTACACAATGGCAAATTATCCATCCAACCTACTCCTAGCTAGGAGGCTCTGGCTGTAATTCGACCTACGTATCCGATAATCCTCTGTTCCAAACACGGCACAGGAGGCAGCTTGAACTTAATCAATCATGCACACCACATGTGACTAAGACTAGCCTAGGGGTACTATTGTCCGCAGATCACACTAGTTAATTAGACAGAGGTAGAAACAAAAACAGATCTGGTTCATAAATCGGGGACAGACAGAGAGAACGAGACGGTTGGTCTTACCGCCATTAGCTTGTGCGGGTGCGGGTCGGCGAAGGCGGCAGTGACGGCGGCAGCGAGTCGATGACCGGGCGAAGCGGGCGGGCTGGAGCGGAGGAAGTGACGCTAGGGTTTAGAAGGGGACCGAATCGAGACTAATAACTCTACTCCTTGCGTTGATTTATAGTATATAGATGGGCAACGGGCCGGGCCCGACCCGCCTAACAGGGCTTCGTGCCTCGCCATCAGCCCAGGCACGGCCTGCTGGGCTGATTTTCGAGCTGGGCTGGCCTGATAAGCACGGTTTGTGAGGGAGGCCGGGCCAGCCCGACGCCCGCTTCAGCAGGGGAGGAGAGGAGTCGAGGACGGTAGCGCTCGAGGCCTTGGAGGCGATGACGGCGTCGGGGACGGGGAGCGCGACCGCGTGAAGCCGTGGAGAAGGCCACGGAGATTGGAGAAGCGCGGGGTCGAGGGGACCGCCGGCCGCGTCGGCGGCATCAGATCCGCGCGGCTTGCGCAGCATGCTCCAACGGCGGCGGCGCGCCGGTGCCCATGCCGGAGAGGGGCTGCAGCGCCCCCGGAGATCCGCGCGCGATGGAGAAAGACAAGTCGACGTGGAGCCGTGGAGGTCGGCAGGGGAAGAGATCCCAGCAGCAGTCAGAGAGAAGAGGAGGAGCGCGAGCAGACTCGCGTCGCGAGCGGCGGACTGCGAGAGGAGGCTTCGCGAATCGCGACTCGGACAGTAGCGGTGGAGAATGACTCGTGATCGCGGTGGGAACTGGGGATGGCCGAGTTAGTCAATGGGCCTGTGGTGTGGGTGGTTTTGAACGGGCCAAATGCCGGGCCATATCTATTTAGCGGGCCGAGCCGGGCCGCCCAGCATACCTAGGTGGCAGCCCAAGCACGGCCCTAAACATCGGCCGGGCCCATTAGTCACCGTGTCATGCTGGGCTCGTGCTGGGCCGAAACATCGGGCTTTAGGCCGTGCCAACGGGCCACGGGCTTTAGAGTTCTACCTATTAATTAATTAATAATAACTGGAAAATAGTATTAGCATATGTATCTACTAATAATAATAAGTACTCCCACCATTGATTAATGAAAAATATTATTAGCATTTATATCTCTAAATAGGTTTAGTATAAAAATATGATGAGATTAATCTAATGATACTTTTTATATAATAAACATTAGTAATTTTTATTTATGTTTGGTTAAATTTAAGTTTGGTTGGCTCACGGAAAATTAAAATTAATAATAACTGAAAAATAGTATGGTAGCATTTGTTTATCTACAGAATTAAACGGTTGACCGCTTAATCAAAAAAAAGTACTCCCACGGAGATTGATTAATGAAAACTATTATTAGCATTTATATCTCTAAATATGTTTAGTATTTAAAAATATGATGAGATTAATATAAATATCTAATTTTTTCACATGCATATATAAATATACATTACCAAAATAATTTATTTATGATAAATATGGTTAAATTTAGAATTTGATTTTTGGCACATATATAATTACGGAAAGTACAAACCGTTTAGGACATGTTTAACTTCGTTTTTGTCTTATAAAGCTAAACGAAGGGCTGCTTATTTACCGTTTAGAAAAACATTAGGAAATACAAAGGCCATGTTTTATCTCTCACAATGAACAATATTTTTCCCTCACAACAAATCAGCGTACTTTCAACCATGGCTTTTCAGCAAAGCGATAAGGGCCAAAATGTGTTTTTAGGACAAAAGGAGTAGGCTCTATAACTATAAGTATTTCACTGCCATGGGAATATTTCACACAGATTGATCTAACCCCATGCGCTAAAAAACCACAGGATGGATGCATGGCCTAACAAGTTTTCTAGGTCGAGAAGCAAGCACACCCATACACTCAAAACGGAACGGATGTTTCTCGATATCCATCCATCAAAAAATGGTCTGAATATTTGAATAATCCAAATATTAATATCCGTAATGTATCCAAATACTAAAGTTGGATTTCTAATACATAGATATCAATATCTAACATATCCAACACTATCTATATTCGATCCAAATCCAAAAAAAAAGAAAAAAAAAAAACGACTACCCTTTTCGCTATCCTTAATATTCGTTTGATATCTTGTCCGATTTTATTCCTACTCTATGGAAGACAAGCGGTTAAATGTTATTTTTTTGTTGATACATACATTTTTGCAACGAGGAAAAAACTTTATGATTTTGGACATTTAGCTCGCATGGCAAGCCAGCTCATCCATCCAGCATGGAAGTGGCACACGAAAGGGTCCTCCTGTCCCTGCTTTGTGTCCTTTACTCTGCTAGAGGTTGTGAGTATGTTCCCCTGACGGGCAGGCGTCGTAGGTGCCATATAGTGTTGTCACCTTTTTAAAGACATCGTCAGAATTCCAGCTCCGTGGTTAGGTGCCCCTTGCTTCTTGTTATTGACTAGTGGAATGCGCGCGCCCTTGCGCGCGTTGGGTAAGTGTATGTGCTGTAAATAGAAAACATGTCTTGGCAATGTTTACAACTGTCTTATCTTCTCTCCATACAACCTCAAAGACAACATGAATCATCAGATCGATATTTCACAATTCATTAAGGCCCAACTACAGCTTCGGAACGAAGCAAAGTAAATGTGGTCATTATGTGAACCTAAGGTAACAAATGCAGGTGTCTCAACTAATTTCAAAGTTACACATTCATGTACAATTATCATGTGCTAGATTCATGATCCAAAGAGTCCTTAGAGTTTAATCCCATACAAATCCGGACCAACGAAGCGGGCTGTAGATGTTGGCGTTTGGTTGTTTTTATGCACTATTCACTTTGTAAGGAGCACATATTCGGTAGGAAACAAAAGCGAGAGAATGGGGTTCGAGAGGACCAAATGAAGTGGAATCTTTGAAGAGACAGCACACGCATATACATTTGTGTGCAAGAGAAACATACCTATTGAAGTGGCATAGATGAAATTTGGAGCCACACGGGCACCTAGGATGTGGAAACAAAATGTCAATCAATCTGAAATCAACAGGGAAAATGGTTCTTTGAAACATTAAGTTTGGATCTATCTCATTAATAAAAATACTTGTTTAAAAAGCACTCCAAATTATAGGAGAAAAAGTCACATTTTTGCGAGATAAATGTAGAGCATGATGATTTGTTATTAGCCGTGTCGGGTTTATGGCATGGTGAATGTACCGCCATCCACGGTAGATGAGCCAATTCATGTTGTTTGCATCACGGTAACATCTTCAAGTCAAAGCTTCATTTGCATGGGCGTCTGCTTGTGAAAGCAGATTTGCTTGTAGATTCGCTTTGCTTAAATGGATGATAAAGCTTTGGTGGTATATATGTTACCTTGAAAATGGCGACATATAAGTTAAATGGTACCGCAATCTCTTTTGCAATTTCATCCGGGTGCATCTTTGTATCGTTTAGTCTTCCAATGCTGTGTATTGTTGATGTGTATCTCGAAATTGGTTAATGGCGATGGTAATTCATGATGTACCCTTTGTATTGGGTGCAGATAATTGGCATCTGATGGTGACATAGTACCTTCTTTGTTTTGTGGTGCTTCCACGGAGAGGACCGATAGATGTACCGTGCTTTGAGCAGGTGTGGGTAAGCACTGTAATATGCATTAGATATTATATGAATATGTCAATAGATGACATGTCAAAAAAAAAGATCATATTTTTTGGGGTACAATGCTAATGGTTCACACGTCTGGCGAGAAGACACTATTGTGTTTCAACCTATGTTTGGAACTATAGTAATTAGGTGTGTTATTAGCAAGAAGGGAAGCCTTTTCTTTAAGGAAAGGAAATACTATATCTTAAGCTGTAGAAGTATGTGGCCACCTCAAACTATGCATGAAGATATGATCGGAGATACATGCGATGAGACGATGCATTTGTCTCGATTGTCAAGAGTGATTTGCTTGAATATAATCTCTTGAGACATGGATTCATTCTATGATAAGACAAAATAATTTTGATCGACCTCATTTGCTATCTTATTTAGTGAAGCGGAACTTTCTTGAGAGAAAATAAAAATAGTGATGGGAGCATTTGCTTTAATTTCTAGCAGGTTATGCACTATGTAAAAAGAAAGTCAAATTTTGAGCGTTTAAGGTTTAAATGAAACGAAGTGTTCATTAAGCACATCGGTGACTTGGATTTGAAAGGCATTAATATTAGTTGAAACTAATTAGAGTACCGAAGCTGTCATTTGTCCGTGCGTACGTAGCTCCGCTTGCAGGTCGGGGAAGGTCCGAACCACTTGGGTCTTTTGTACCATGACCTTTCCATGCATTTACGCAAGAAGGTCAACATTTCAGGACTTGAACCCGTGACCTCATGGTCACAAGGCGTGACTTTTTACCTGCGCCAAGGCTCCCCTTCTAAGACAAGCTAACATTCACAAATCATATTCCATTCATCATTATATCAGATTTGCTTTGTGATATAGGATTATGGTTGTTCACTTCTTTTCCCATTTTTGAGATCAATCTAATCCTAGAATATATGAATAAGTGAGAAGCTTTAAAGATAATAAGAGTGCAAAAAATCATGTGTGAAGTTCTTTGAAGCGGTAAGTATATATTCTGATAAAAAACCCTAAGAAATTTACGAGCAACCAATATCCTAAAATCTCAAATCACAGGCATCCATCGAGACACAATCATAGGAGGGTACAGTTAAGGATTTAGGCTGCGAACAACGAATGAAAACAATTTTTGGATGCATTTACCATACTATATATGTCATCTCACTCGAAGAACAACAATTATTGATGCCTTTACCGTACTATTTATGTCATACATATCACTCGAAGAACAACAATTACTTTGGCAAAGAAGGAAACAATGGTTATCAGAAAAGTCAATAAGCTATGATGCCTTTTTCATTATCTTAATCAAGCATTGTATGTTTGAAAAGGACAAACGGATGTTGTAAACCGATCAATCTGAATAACAATAGTAGAATAGAATAGAACCGGCGGTCCGACGCGTGAGCGATGCATA